GAGTGACCAGTGCGGCGAGTGCCAAGATCATGACGCTCTAGTCTATCAAGACAAGTGAGTCACGAGAGCATTTGGAAATTAAACAGGAATACAATAGACGCAATAGGAATACAACAATTTTCACACACTAAATAAGCGTAAAACAGTATAGTTTATGAGAATTGCCATCTTTAAAAACACGCTTCCTTAAATTATAAATAAAAAAAAACGACAACGAAAAAAAGAACTTCTTGGCGACCGTTATAAGATTAAGTGTATGTTCAGAACCAGGCAACGTGGACAAACCGTAAAGGTAACAAGGCAACAGCCGACTATGATTCCACGAACACGAATTACAAAAACCGCCCCTTTTTATCTACAATAGTTGGCATAGGTGATTAAGTTTTGCATTGTTTTATTATTTTATATCTGATAGGTGCGTAGTGATCCAGTTTTGCCTCTATCTTGGAAATGATGGAGGCTTCGCTGCGAATCTCCGAATGACGCCCTATTGCTAGCAGAGCTATTTTTTGATCAATCTAAATATTCGACGGAGAGTATCACGGAGCACCTACATCATTTCACCCGCTCTCCGAAGAAAAAAACATTTGAAAATGTGTAGTTATCTACAGCGGTTTTATGCAGGGCGTATGACATTTATTTTGAACAGACTTAGTAAAAAAACGCCGTGAAAGGTACACTAAACGGTTCAGTGGTGGTGGGTTATACGACCAAGGTGACAAACAAAATAGTGGGTAATCCCTTTGAGAGGCCGGATAGCTTACTAAAATTTGTTCATTAACTTTTCAGTTAGTAAAAATAAAGATATGGTCTCGATTTGTTACTTGCTAAACGTAGGAAAACCACCATGTCAGTGGAGTTCTACAAGAATTCCCGCGCATGGGAAGCGATGGAGTGCGCTGAAGTTACAATTTGTGCAACAGGTGTCAAAACTGGCGCTGCTAAAATACTGTTGAAAATGGTAACATCGATGTTTTTTGGACTGACGAAAATGATCCCTGCAGAACGGGGACAAAAGGGACAAAGGGCAAACAAAAATATCCAAACATAGCTAGGTGACTGGCGCGCCACCGAAAAAATCCGCCTGGTTCGGGCATCGAACCCGGAACCTCTCAATTTCAATCTGACGAAGGCTTATTGCGGAGCAGGCGCCGTGTAATTGAGCTTTCGCTCGGACGTCAAAAGATCCCCAGGTGGTCTAAATTAATCCTCAGTCCTCCGCTGGGGCGTGCCAGATGCCAGTCGTTGGTTTGGCACGTAAAACCCTCAAATGTGACTTTGTCTCCATTTCAAGCTTTGCGCCTATTGCACGAGCGAAATGGTTAGTTCGCAGCCGCGCTAACTGCCTGCTCCAAGTCCTTCTAAAGCTGACGGATCTGAAGGTTTCAGGTGACGCTCCTCAAGTTCCTAACTGAAACCATCAGCTTTTTCCATATTTAAGATGTTAAATCACAAATTGTATTGAAATATTTGACCTATCCAGACAAGTAGCCCCCTATATTATGTCCTCCTGGCCATATAACTCACCTGAACAGAACGCATAAATCTCCCTATGACGGCTTTCTTATACATTGAAAATGTTCTAATAAAAAATCCAACAACCTGTATTCACCTCCAGATCAAACCGTGTCGCCACTGTGAGGCCGAAACTGGAAAGATGCGAAAGTAAGGATACCGCTTTGCGTCATCTGCTACGGGCGCATATTCAGAAGCATGGGTCTCGACCACGCAAGCCCGTTTCCGGCTCAGCTGGATTGTGCGCGCGACACTAGAGCGCCGACGTTAGAGCGCGCGACACGAGGGCGCTGCGACAGTAGCGCGCTTGACACTAGAGCGCACGACACGAGAGCGCATGACCAGTTGAGCGCGCGACACGAGAGCGCACCCCATTTGAGCAAACACCGCAAAATGTGTGATGTACCCGCGGCTCCACAGACAGAGCAAAATTGTACGACTCATCAGATTGAAGCATTGGTAATTTTTGATTAATTTAACATGCCTTTAATAAAAAATAAGAATAAAAAGGGTACGACTCTTTCTAACCAATTGTTTACTGACATCGAAGAGAAAAGGGGGCAGGGTTGTAGTCTGGGACATATATATAGGTACCGCGAAAGGTTGCAGTTGAGTGGAGCAGCGAGTTTAAGATTTCTTCACAGTGCTGCGGCGCGCCTTTCGGATATACTATAAATAGTTTACTTTTTGCTATAATTGGTCTATTCTTCACGGGCATTTGGGCTCCGATCTATTTAGTGGCTATTTAGAAATCCCTCTTATAAAGTTAAACGGTATTCTGACGTCCATGTCCGTAATGAAGAAAGATCACCGCTAAAAAGTACCAGTAAAAAACTCATCGAAGGAAAGCTCAGCGCAATTTTATCGCATGCAGATCTTTGCAGCCTTTTAACGGATGCAGGAAAACCTCCCCTGAAAATCTTTGATATATAAAATCAAAGAACTAATGAAGCCTTCCTTAGTTGTTTGATTTAAAAAACGTTAGAGAAAAAGTAAAAATAACTAGTGAAAAACATTGCAGCTAACCTAAACTGGGTCAGCCGCAATGTTTGTTTTTTTCCGGAAAAATGCATGCTACAGATATTCTTTTTTTTTCTGTTAGCTTTTTGTAACACTTTTTGGTTTGTCACACGCAAACATTTCGTCGACTCATTTTGCAATGTCATGGCATAAATCCCTGCCAATTTTACATAAAACACGCGATGCCCGAACAAGTGGTCGGTCCGGTCGGGCCACTCGCGCTGGTCTGGTTGTGCGCTCTCGTGACGGGCGCTCTAATGACACGCGCGCTAATGTTGCTGCGCTCTCGTGTCGCGCGCACTAACGTCGTGGCGCTCTAATGTCGGCGCTCTTGTGTCGTGCGCTCTAGTGTTGCACAGCCGTCTTAGTGGTGTGGTTTGTAGAACCGCTGGTCTCACATATTTTTGTTATCTCGCACAATTCATAACTTTTATAATACATTAAATGCTAATTGAAGAGGGGGTAATAAAAACATTAGCCCAACTGGTCGCCTCCTTTTAATAGAGTAATCAGCTGATAAATGTTTGAGTTGATTTTTGCAGTCTTATTATATAAAACACGCTCAAACTACACATCTTTTAGTATATCATAAATGGCATGTTGCAGTCCCATATCAAACTTAAAATTGTGGCGACCACAAATATGAACAAGGGAAGCCTTTTTTAGCGAAATCATTCTCAAGTTATTATTTAAACAGTATATCACCCTCGATGACAATCACATGCCTGCAAAAGTTGTTTGCCGTGCAAGCCTCTTTCCTAAAGGAAATGAAGACGCCTGGGATATTAAAGCAGCCATTTTTCCTTCTTTCTTCCTCTTGCACGAAACTTCATTTAAATGGGAAACAAAGTCACAATTAAAACATTATTCAAATACTCGGAAGGTTAATCGATGAACTTCCCGGTACAGATATGCGCTAGGATAGGGCGGAGGGTTATCGGAAAGTATCGAAGAGTAGCTAGCCCCCATCAGTAAAAGATCGTCGCTCCAGTTGGTGTTGGAAAATGACAAGTGGACGGCGATCCCGTCTCGCGCCTGTGACATTTTTTCGGTGAACGAGATCGTGTCTGGGACTGATGGACGAAGAAGGAGTGTTGGTGGCGTGAGGAGAGACATTTTTTGGGGTTTGGAACGACGAGAAAGCAGGGCCATTGTCAGGATGGATTTTACCGCGGTCATGTAAATATTAATCCAAGTCCTTTTTATAAGTCAGTTCGTGGCGACTCATTACGCTAAAGACGGTGCCGAAACCCGGGACTTGAAGCCAGGAACGACCCTACGAAACCGTGAACGATCGGTCGACCCGCACTGACTTTTGAACGAACGACCGATTAAAAAATTCTTTCAACTGCCGGTTATTACCTACCCTGGAACGATATGCAGAGAATAAGAACGAAGAGAACGTCGAGACGAGCGCAAAACACCCGCGTAATTCGAGAGGCGACCACTCTTCTTCGGTCTACTGACGTGGAAGAAATCGAAGCGACTCTGCGGAAACTGGACGTCAACTACGAAGAAGTCAAGAAACTCAACACTGACTTAGAACCATTTATTGCGGACGGAGATCTTGAGGCAGAATACCTCTCAGTGATGAAATACAAAGAACAGACAACTTCCGTTTTCAGTCTGCTTCGGAGTCGAGCGACGCAACTTCTCTCAAATGAACCGCCGCGCCCAGCAGCATCAGCAATTGGCTTCCACAACGAAGAAAGAGGCGAGAGGAGACGCAGCGGTGTAAAGCTTCCTGGGTTGCAGCTGCAGCCATTCAAGGGCGATCTTTCGGAGTGGCAGCCATTTTGTCAACAGTTCAAACGAGTCGTACACGACAACGATGATCTGTCGAATGGCGAGAAGTTCCAGTACTTGAAGACGTTGGTAAACGGACCTGCAAGGGCTTCCATCGCCGGTCTCCCAGTAGCGGACGCCCATTACAACGATGCAATCGAAAGTTTGACGAGACAATTTGAAGACGCACGACTAATCCAGAAGGAGCATCTCGCGATCTTCAAGCTGTTACCTCCTCAACCGACACGAAGGGGCTGAGAAGGCTTTTTGGTCAAGTGCAAGCCTACGTACAAGGTCTTCGAGAACTTGGAGTCTCATCTAACACGTATTCGACCATGCTGACAGATATTGTCATCAGTGCATTCCCGTCTGACATCGTGGTCGACTATTACCGACATGCTGGTCACTCCGAAAAAAGGGCGGTCTTCCAGGATTATTTCTACCAACGTCACTGGAAGAACGGTCTTCCTCATCCGGTACGGCCAGCAGTGCGGCGCCGGCCGCGAGACCAACAAAACGAGCTAAAGATATTCCAACAGCCCGACGTCCTTCGGAAGACGAATTGGAAACCCTGCTGGAATACCTGCTCATCGAGATCGAGAGCAGAGAACGATCGGGAGTCATTGATGATCGCCCGCAGAAGAGGAATAGCCGAGAGCAACAACAGAAACGAGCTTTCTTACCATCCTCTTCGGTTCTGCATGCTAAGGCACAAGACACAAAGAAGTGCTTCTTTTGCGGAGCCACGAACCACGATACAGAGCTCTGTATCAGTAACATCTCTTTGAAGGAGGAGAAAGCTAAGCTTGCTGGGGAAATGCGATGTTTCCGGTGCACACTAAGAGGACACAGATCAAAGGATTGTCACAGGAAGGTGTCCCGCACTACCTGCACAGGACGACATGCAACATCAGTGTGTGATCCCACTTGGAAACCTTCATCGGGTAGCAGCGAAAACCAAGCCATCACTAGTAGCGTTCAGAGCACCGGCAACAACAATGCTGCAGGCTTGCTGGATGCAGAAATTCTTCTGCAAACCATTCGGGCCTGGGTAGTCGGATATGGGCGCAGTGTTTGCATACGTGCTATCTTTGATGGCGGAAGCCAGCGAACGTTTATTCGCGAAGACATTTCACGTAAGCTAAATCTGAAGTTGTTAGGTGAGACTAACCTGCGTTTGAACACCTTTGGAAAATGGACTTCGATACTACAACAACGAAGGTTGGTTGAAGTGAAGATGCGCAGTCAGAACAGTCATGAGATTTATGTTATTGAAGCGGTCGAAATACCATTCATATGCAAAGACGTTGTCCAAGTTCCTGTGGATCACGAGTTTGTCCAGAGCACCGAACAAGGAGGAGGCTGCATAGCAGATAAGCTTCTTCTCCTTGGTATGCCTACGGAACAAGGAATAAGCCTCCCTACTGGCTCAGACCAACTCTGGAAGGTCACGACCGACCAGATGCGGCGATGTGAGGGCAACTCCAGTCTAGTGGCCTTCAACACCAAATTTGGTTGGACTTTTCAGGGACCAGCATCGCTGCATAGCTCTCTTACTGTATCTACTAAGACGATGGTCTGCGCGCTACAACTTAGGACAATTGAAAACGTCGAGGAAAAGACCTTGAACAGCTTTTGGACCCTGGAAAGCATAGGAGTAATAGATAACCTGCGTGACGCGGGTGAAGAACAAAACGCGGTGTGGGATGAGTTTGAACCAACTATCGTAAAAGTAAACGGACGATATGAGGTGAGGTTGCCTTGGAAATCGAACGCAGGTGAGCTTAACGATAACAGAGCTTTAGCGCTGAAGCGACTCGAAGCCTTGCAGAAGCCACTCTCACGAAACGAGTCTCTCTTGAGAGATTATGAGAATGCTATATGCGGCTCTTTCAAAGCTGGGCATGCGGAGGAAGTCCCACGAGGGTCTTCGGACAACTCACGTATCTATTGCATGCCTCACCAGGCAGTGATTCGGATGGATTCTGAAACCGCAAAACTAAAAGTGGTGTTCGATGCATCATCACATTTGCAAGGAGTTGCCTCACTGAATGATCATCTAGAAAAGGGGCCAAAGATGAACGCCGATTTGGTCGAGATTCTTATACGTTTTCGAACATACCCTATCTCTATCACAGCCGATATAGAAAAGGCTTTTTTACAAGTAAGCGTGCAGCCTGATGATCGTGACGCACTGCGGTTTTTATGGTTTGATACCGCTGAAATAGCGGCTGAGGAGCACTAAGTTGAAGAATGCCGGATGACCGAGGTGCCGTTTGGAAACTCGGCGAGTCCATTCCTGCTTTCGGCAACTCTCAAACATCACCTGCAAAGCGTGAATGGAGAAATGAAGGAAGCCGCAAGTCTTCTTCGAAAGTCCTTCTATGTTGATGACTTGCTTGTCGGAGCTCAGACAGTAGAGGACGCTAGGCACCTTCAAACCCAAGCCAATAAAATCGTGAAAGAAGCCGGCATGACACTTCGAAAATGGGCTACAAACTCCAGCGAACTCCAGGAAGTGATCGACGAAGGTAGCCTGGCAACAGACTTATCAGAACCCAGAGGGGTCCTTGGTTTGAAATGGAGACGGGATAATGACACTTTATTTATTCCGGTAAAAAATATCCTGAACTTTATCGACAGTAACGACAGCACGAAGCGGGGAATGCTACGCGCTGCAGCAAGGGTTTTTGACCCACTCGGGCTCGTAGCACCCTTTCTGATAAGAGTGAAGATTTTGTTCCAGCGCCTATGGGAACGCGGACTCGATTGGGATAGTGAACTTCCTGACGACCTTTCCGGAGACTGGCAAAAATGGTGTAAGGAGCTTTCACAGATAGAAGACATAATGACGAACCGGTGCATCATGAGCACACGAAAACAGCAGCCAAATACTGTACAACTTCATGTCTTCTGTGACGTTAGCCCCCTCGCTTATGGAACCTGTGCGTACCTGAGGGTTGACTACATGGATGGAACCGTAGACGTCAGTCTGGTGTTCGCCAAAACAGAAGTAGCTCCTATAAAACGGTTGACACTTCCTCGTCTCGAGCTTATGGCGGCCGTGATCGGTAATCGAGTTGGCAAATTCCTCAGAAGGATACTGGAGTTTCAGGAGGTATTCTTCTGGACCGACAGCACAATCGCTCTCCATTGGATCAAGGGCTCGGCCTCCAAGTGGAAACCTTTCGTTGCTAATAGGGTGACCGAAATTCAATCAGGAGGGGAACCAACAAGTTGGAACCACTGCCCTGGACTAGAAAACCCTGCTGATTTAACAAAACGAGGAATGTCGGCAGAGGACCTAAAAACGAAACAACTATGGTGGAAGGGCCCTAGTTGGCTCTCGGAAGACCGAACAACTTGGCCAAGTACAAATACAAACGAAAAGATGTCGACCGAATTAGCAGAAGAAGAACGAAGGTGTAAACCTCACGTGCTTTATATAGTAACCAAGGAAACGACACCGCTCTTGGAGTTAGAGCGATACAGCAAACTAGAACGTGTTCTTTGAGTTACAGCGTGAATCATGGGGTTCTGCAAGAACTGCAGAACACCACCAAGTAAAACGGGGGGGTCCTCTGGCCACAGATGAACTTGAAAAGCAGAACTATTTTGGAATAAACGAACCTAAGAGGAATCTTACACCAATGAGATCAACGAACTAGTGGAAGACAGAGGTGTGAACGTGCCATCCAGCATTATTGCTCTCAGTTCTTACCTCGATGCCAACCGGCAATTGCGACTCGGAGGACGACTCCAACACAGACACGAACCAGTAGAAGTCAAGCACCCACTACTGTTACCCTCTGGGCATCGCTCCACAGAACTTCTGATAGACAGCATGTATCGACTTACATTCCATGGAGGAATACAAGACACCGTAACACAGTTAAGAGAACGTTATTGGGTTCCCAGAGCTCGGCAGACGGTGAAGATGGTTATTAACCGCTGCAACGTCTGTGCTCGGTCGAGAGCCCAAAAGGCATCAGCATCAACCGCTCTGCTTTCAGGAGAGCACGTAAATGAAGCAAGACCCTTTGAAATAGTAGGAGTGGACTTAGCCGGACCCCTCTTGATCAAGTCTGGACACGGCATTAAAAAGGCGTACATCGCAGTATTCACCTGCGCAGTTACGCGCGCCGTACATCTAGAGTTGGTCACATGCCTGGCTACTCCAGCCTTCCTCATGGCCTTCCAGAGGTTCACAGCCAGGCGAGGAATACCTCGGGTGGTGTACAGTGACAACGCCTTAACTTTCAAGAAAGCCGCCAAGGAAATTTGCGACTTCTGGAACGTGCTCAGTGACAAGAACGTGCACGAACACTACTCCGAGCAAAGGATACAGTGGAAATTAATCGTAGAGCGAGTCGCGGGGGGATCGGTGGCCGAGTGGTCTAGCGCACACCACCTCGGAGCACGTGGAGCGAAAGCTCGCGCTGCAGAACCAAGGGATCCTGGGTTCGAGCCCCACCCCTGCCCGTTTCGATCTGGATGAGCATCGTACCGGCGCGCGGTCGTGTATCACTACTGCGTGATGCACGTTAAAGACCCCAGGCTAGCGGCTGTACCGCACTGGCTAAATTTATCATCTACAGCTGGGAGACTCGTCGCCCCTGTGAGGCAGACCAAGTTCTAGGCTGTATAAACACACAAACAACCCAATTTTTTTTTTTTAGAGCGAGCCGCCTGGTGGGGCGGTTTTTGGGAACGCCTAAAGCGCACCGAGAAAACAAATCTTCGAAAGGTTCTAGGAAGGAACAGCTACTAATTTGAAGAACTTACCCCCACCCTCCACGGAATTGAGGCGGTCGTTGGTTCAAGACCGCTCTCATTCCTACATGCGTCTCCTGACGAACCAGAAGCGTTAACTCCGGCACATTTCTTGACAGGAAAACGGCTGACAGCTCTTCCAACTTCAGCTATGGAGGACCTTCAGCCATCTACTAGGAGTGAAGTCACTCGGCGCTGGAGACATCGTCAGCGGCTACTAGACCACTTTTGGCAGAGATGGCGTAAAGACTACTTGTTTAAACTCCGGTCGGCACATGAAACGCATTGTCTTAAAGACAGTCAAGTTAAAGAAGGAGACCTCGTTTTCGTCGAGGACAACAATACTCCAAGGCATCTATGGTGGACTGGACGGATCCGAGAAGTTTACCACGACCGGGATGGAATTGTGCGATCCTGTGCTGTGAACATGCCGAGGGGACAAGTATTGAAGAGACCACTTCAGCTTTTATACCCATTAGAACTGT